TTTGATTCTATTACTTATTCTACAATAAAAAAATTGTAGATATTTGTAGTAAAAAACTACTACAAATACTGTATGCTTGATTGCTTTAAATTCTAAATTACTTCCTTTATTTCCTTTTTCAGAGCTTTAATTCTAAGCATTTTATTATTCAGCCTTATTGCTTTATAATAGCTTTAATCAGAAGCACTACTCTTGCTTTACTTCTTTATTTGAATTGAATTTTAATTCTCTATATTTTCTAGTATGATCTAGAATCTCTAGCATATTCTAGTTCTCTTTATTGTTCTCTTTTTTCTTGCCTTCGTCGCAACTTACACAACTTTGTTCTGTGTTCATTCGGTATTGTTGACTGGTGGGGACACTGTGAACTTTTTAGAGTTTCTATTTTTGCTTAATATCTAGCTTGTTTACTTTGCTATCTTCTTTAAGTCTTTATTTTCTTAACTAGTTGTCGCAGTTCACACGGTTTTGCCCGCTAAGCTTTGTTTGCGTCTAGGACCTTTCTGTCCGTGTTCATCCCTTGCTGTTGACAGGTTGAGTCTTAAAGTCTTTCTTAAGATGCCAAAAGTGGTTTTATTTTTTGATCATCATTGCAAATATAAAATCAGTGCATTTATATCGGGCTTTGAGAGATTGTCCATTTGCAGCACTGACAAGATGAGATGTTTTCTCATAAAACCTTAGAGGAATAAGATCTTATCTAATGCAATTTACATCTGCTCCAGTGTTAATTAGAGCTGTGTGTTGGACAGAGTATTCGTTCATAATGTTAAGCATGATATTACATCTCCATTTTTTCTCAACATATTTTTCTATAGAATTTATAAATTCATTGTCATCAGAATCTTGTTCATGTTCAAAGTTTTTTATATTTTTGAAACCATCAGATTCATCTATGGTTTTATTTTCTAAGTAAGTTTCTAAAATGTTTATTTTCTGTTTTAATTCAAGAAGTTTTATTTTTAAATTTCCTTGTTCCTTCTGAAGTTCTTCAAGATTTACTTTATTCTCAAGTTTTTTCTCATTTTGAATTCTGTTTATAATTTTAGAGAAAGTATAATATTCATTTTCTTTAACAATAAAGATGTTCTGGTAGCCTTTACTTCTGGTGCTTGGAATGACACTCGAAAAAATTATTCAACAATTAAAAAGGAAATGCCTGCTATTGTTCTTTCTATCAATAAAATTTAAAGCGATTTATTAAACCAAAAATTCTTACTCAGAATCGACTGTATGTCTGCCAAATACGTTATCAATAAAGATGTTCAAAACTTAGCATCTAAACAAATATTTGCTAGATGGCAAGCTATCCTTACTGTGTTTGATTTTGATATAGAATTTATTAAGGGTGATAATAATAATTTACCTGATTTTCTCTCCAGGGAATTTCTACAAGGATATGGCCCTATCAAAATATCATTACCAAAAGGCTCTCTCACATGAAAAAGAGAAATCTTCTTCTACTCCCTTAACACAAGACGAAAAAGAGAAATCTTCTTCTACTCCCTTAACACAAGACAATAAGGGAACTTATTCTCAATTTTATCAGAAAACTTTGGATAAACTTGTCATCCTATAAACATCTGATCAGACTCTTTTACCGATTGAAATGGCAGCAAAGTTCCTTCCCAAGGAATATTACTATGTTCCGTCCATGTTTGGTAAAACTACACTCTACTATGAAAAAATTCTTAAAGAAACAGAAAGTGCATTTGCTCATCATAGGTACCAAGGTAAAGAATATAGTTACTCTCGGCTAAGAATATATCGTATTATTCCTTTAAATGAATGGAATTCATATGGAAATCCCAACGTTCCGCGAAAGTTTAAAGAAAAAACTCTAATTGGTCCCCAACAATACAATTATTGGGACTATCAAGCTGCTTGGGAACATGTTCTGTACATTCAAAATCATCTTGGAAAGCATTCATGGTGGATACGATTTATGAATCAAATGTGTCTACCAAATTGGTTTATTGAAACCTTCTGGGCTAAATTTGGAGCCATCAAAGAAATAATGCCAAAAGAAGTCCTTCAAAAACAAGGAAAAAATGTATCTCCACAAGATATGCTTCACATATCTATGAAATTTGGTCTCCCGTGGATTATGCAATGGGATTGGGATTGTGTTAACAACACACCATCTTACTTCGCAAGAAGTATTTCTGTAAAATGGTATGATCGTTGGAATATTGCAAACTATCTAAATGAAAGAAAAAGCTCATTACTCCCAGACTATAGTCCGGAATATAACATAAAATCAAATCCTAGAAGATTTGATATGAAGGCTATACAAGAAAGTCTTTATGACAAATTTGCGCTACAATATCCAAATGCGAGTGAAGAAAAACTAAAGTCATTAACTTATGATGAAATGCTAATGATACTAGCACCAATGTATACTACGTCCTCTACTTCAGAACCTGCTGAGACATCAGAGCCTGTTAAAATAAAAGATGAACCCGTGCTTGAAGATACTCCCATGGATAGCGAAGATGGTTTTGACAACAATGGCGACGATTGTTACGGAATTGATCTATGATATACCATTAATTTATGGTAAAATTCACCATTAACATATGGAAAAAATTTGCCATTAACTTATGGTAAAATTCATATACCATTAACTTATGGTAACTACTGATTAATATCAACGACTTAAACACTAAGTCGATCACCCATTATCTTTTTCAAAAAGTTTAAAAAATTACTAAACTTTTATACAAATTTCATTCACAGCTAGATATTGTAATAAGTGTACTCTACTACTACTAGCTCCAGCGGATCACCAAGCCTTCGGTTTGTAAGTGTTTAAGTTTATTTTCTTTCTAATTTATAAGTCTCTTATGTAAATACTATCTAGTTTGCTTCCGTTTTTCTGATGTTACTATTCATTACTGTTCACGTCGTTACTGTTCATTTTTACTATTCATTTCTATATTTTCTTCTTTTATTTTTGATATACATGTGAACGAATGTTGAATAATTTTTTCGAGTGTCATTCCAAGCACCAGAAGTAAAGGCTACCAGAACATCTTTATTGTTAACTCTTTGCTTAAGAATCCCCCCGTAGCCAAAATCAGATGCATCTGTTTCAACTATTTTAAAGGCTGTAGAATCTGGAAGAGATAAACAAGACAATGTTTTTACTTTAGTTTTTATCCTTTTGACCGCTTCAGAATATCTTTCTGTCCATTCGGTACAATCTTATTTTAATCGATCACTAAGAATTTTTCTATCATAGGCAAGGTCTTTATAGAAATTAGAAAAGAAAAATAGAAATGAATAAAAAAATGAACAGTAACGGCGTGAACAGTAATGAACAGTAACAGCAGAAAAACGGAAGCAAGCTAGATAGTATTTACATAAGAGACTTACAAACTAGAAAGAAATAAACTTAAACACTTACAAACCAAAGGCTTGGTGATCCGCTGGATCCAGTAGTAGTAGAGCACACTTATCTAACAAACACTCAAAAAAAAAAAAAATTAAAAGCAAACCTCACTCAGACTTAAACTAAAACTGAAAACTAAAAAAAGAGAAACTGGATGGATTTCACTAGAGAGGATAAGACGTCTAGGGCATTTCTGTCCATGTTCATCCCTTGCTGTTGACAGGTTGAGTCTTAAAGTCTTTCTTAAGATGCCTAAGTTTCTAAGCTATCCTTGTGTCAAAACCATGACGGTTAAAAATTCATATCTCAAGTTTAAAAATATAAATGTTATTGAAGATTTCAATAATAAATCATCCTTTGAAATCGATAAAGATTTCCTAAGGAAAGATTTTAATTCTTTAAAAAACAAAGAAAAAAAAGGAATGGTTTTTTCAAACATATGAAGAAGACTTTAGATCATCCATTAGAACCTTATATTATGACTTCATGCGAACCATCAAGCAAATATACCTAGTAAAAAACTACTACAAAAACTGTATGCTTGATTGCTTTAAATTCTAAAGCACTTCCTTTATTTCCTTTTCCAGAGCTTTAATTCTAAGCATTTTATTATTCAGCCTTATTGCTTTATTATAGCTTTAATCGGAAGCACTACTCTTGCTTTACTGCTTTATTTGAATTGAATTTTAATTCTCTATATTTTCTAGTATGATCTAGAATCTCTAGCATATTCTAGTTCTCTTTATTGTTCTCTTTTTACTTGCCTTCGTCACAACTTACACAGCTTTGTTCTGTGTTCATCCGGTGTTGTTGATTGGAGGGGACATTGCGAACTTTTTAGAGTTTCTATTTTTGCTTAATATCTAGCTTGTTTACTTTGCTATCTTCTTTAAGTCTTTATTTTCTTAACTAGTTGTCGCAGTTATATATATGAGTAAGACTCCTATCAACTTAAGTTGATGTTCACCAAACTTCCTAGTCACTCATTTATTAATATAAAAAACCTTTTCATATCATGCAATTATAACTTTTTGCTATCCACTTAAGCTGACACAAGTTTTGCTATATATATATATA